TGTGTGTGTGTGTGTGTGTGTGTGTGTGTGTGTGTGTAGAACCCATTCCTTCCACTATGACCAAGTCTCTAATGAATGTTCTAGAAGTTAAGGTGCCACACTGAAGCCCATGACAGTAGAGATTAATCCTTGTTGAGGAAGACAACACTTTTATACTCCTGGACCAAAATATGCTCGTGGATACCAGATGTGATAGCTTTTCCTTCGTGTCTAGTGACAGGCTTCTCTTGCTTCTGCAGTCATGTAAAACCATGCAGCACACGACCTGTGAGAATGACTATGCTACAAAATATGACCATGACAAGTATTTCTGAGTTAGTACAGAAACTGGAACCACCACAAATTGCTAGCAATATACAACAAATAGCACAGCCACTTCAGAAAATGCTTTGAGATTCCTTGAAAAGAGTTAAGCAGAATTGTCATGTTACCTGGTGTTTCATCTCCCAAGTATACACTCCAGAGGAAGAGAAACTAACTTTGTGCCTGAGAGGTCAAAGAAGCATCATTCATAGTAGTCAGAAAGTAGAAATCCAAATGTTCATCATCTGACAGATGGATTGACTGAATGTATTGTGCTTAAAGGGGATACTGTTGTGCCTTAGAAAAGAATCAAGTATTGACTTATGCCAAGAGGTACCTGAACCTTAAAAGGTTGTACTTGATGAAAAAAATCCAGAGACTAAATGTCACAGACAAAAAGTTCCACTTATGGTAAATATCCAGGATAAGCAAATCTATGAGATAAAATTAGATTACCGCTTTTCAGGGACCAGAGGGGGGGGTTATATGACTGCCATGTAGTATGAAGTTTCTTTTAACATGATGAACTGCTCTAAATTAGGTTTTGGTGCATTTTTATGCAACTCTGTGAATACATTGAAAAAACTCATGGGATAGGTAGGTTATATGGCATGAGAATTACATATGAATATGACTTGTTTTTTTTTTTCAAACAAAATTCCTAGAAGTGAATATTACAATAGCTAGCAAGAAAAATGTACGAGATGAGCTTACCGAAAAACAAAAAGCAAACAAACAAAAAAAAAAAAACTAGAGAATATAGGAAAGTGATCAGTAAACTTAAAAACAAAACCAGATCAGTGAAACTAATCTAGCGAGCAGAGTGCTCGAGATTGAAAAACATTTACCAAGCCTCAAGGACTACTGACCAGGATCAAACAGCCAAGCATACCTATGGTTAGAGTTCCAGAAGAAGAAGAGAAAGAAAAGAAGACATGAAAAAGCTTCAGAACTATTGATTGAACAACCATCGTGTAGACAAAACACAGTAACTTCTAGGTCTCAGCAAACTCAACTTAAAAAAAAAAAAGTACAAAGAAAACCATAACTATATGCATCATAGTCAAACTATTGGAAAAGTGGATCTAAAGCTCATCTAATCTGCCAGGCTGAAAAGAGGCTCCACCTGATTAAAACTTAGGATAGCTTCTTATTCAAACGCTGGCCCTCAGTCAAGGGACTCCTAGAATATGATAAATAAAATAAAAATTCTTAGAACTGAATATTACAATAGCTAGCAAGAAAAATGTATGAGATGCGCTAACCCGTATTGTACAGCCAAACAAAATAGCCTTCAAAACAGAGAACTGAATGAAGGCTTGTTTCAGCAAAACACAAGCTGAGAGGATCTGTCGCTGGCAGAATGACACCCCAGGAGGGACTAAGAGTGGTCTTGAGGCTGGGAGGAGAGGTCAATGGCTAGAAACCTGAATGAGAACAGTCTCTGCTGGGTGTGGCAGTGTGTGCTTGTAACCCCAGAACAATGGGGGTCAGGTAAGACAGGTAAGGCACATCTGATACCAGCCAGGGCTACGGAGAGTTTCAATAGTGAGACTACTATTTCAAACAAGGGGGGAAAAACAGTTCCTGAGAGAAATGTCATAAAAGAAATTGAGAGCTTCCAGTCTACATGGAATATTAAATGGACTTTCTCATATACCGTACTTCCTTTCCAATTAGATTCAACCAATTAGTCCATTAATCATATAAACCTAATGGCTTGCAATCAGCCATTTTAGACATGGAACAGAGAGGTGCTGGAGAGATAGCTCAGGACTGGCTGCTCTTCCAAAGGACCTGGGTTCGATCCCTAGCCCTCACACGGCAATTCATAACCACCTGCAACTCCAGTTCAAAGGCATTTGCTGAGCCCCTGGCCTCCACAGATACCAGGCATGCATGTGCTGCACAGACGCACAGGCAGGCAGAGCACCCATACACACAAATAAAATAAAATTTAAATGGAACAGAGCAGAACAGGTCCAGACAAAAATAAAACAGAAACGTCTTCTTTTTTTTTTAAATTATCAGAAACCATCCAACAACTATCCATGAACAAATAATACTCTTTAAAACCTACTAATGGGTGTTAGGGATTTGGCTCAGCAGTGGGGCTTAGTAAGTCCAAGGCCCTGGGATTTGTCACCAGCACTGAAAAATAAAATAAAATCTATGACTAAAACTACAGCTCTTTATTTTGAGCAATATCTTACAGGTATCCATCTTACAAGTATCTTGTAAGTATCAATAATTGTTTGGGGGCAGATTCTTGTTATGCTCTGTGCACTGGCCTTGAATTCATGGTTCTTTGGCCTCAGCTTCCTGAGTGCTGGGATTACAGTCATGTGCCATCACACCTAGCTTATAACATTCATTTAAAATTTAACGCTGGTGAGCTAGTCTCCTTTTATAGACAGGGAGAGCCATGTGACTTAATTCCTTTTCTGACCTGTCAGAAAGTTCATAAATTTTTCTCAATGACAGTAGCTATTCTTAGACTAGCTAAGTGTGTACCCCTAGCCTTCCTGGGCTTCAGCCCTTAAAATAAACTGTTCATGCCGATTCCATGGTTGGAAGCAGCGTCAGGGCACAGCCTACCCTGCAATATGACCACAGCATTTAACTAACCCCCTTGCAAAATTAATACCTCCTGTCACAGCCCCAGTGCCATCCACATTCCCCATTCTCAGTTACTGGCATCCTCGCCTCCTCCTCATGACTTCTTTTAAATAGAACAAAAGCAGCAAGGTGAGTGGGTGGGGGAATTATGTGGTCCAAGTCCAGACCCAACTTTAAACTCTGGCTTCATCCTTCAATGACAGAGGCTGATGAGTGTGTGATCACAGGTGTGGTCCATGAAGTGAGCTGTGTAGTGGCTCCCAGAGTGACCGTGCCAGTCATCTGCTAGTGTCGGGCACATTGAAATGCTTGATAAAGAATAGTCTTGATTTTTCCACTGGATACAAGAACGTTTGGCCTCAGCCGTAAGACACGTAGTCAGACTCATTCTTACTGCTCTCCTAATCAGACTGCTCCAGCCACTGGCTGCCCCAGGGTCCTTGGACAACCCCATCTCTTTCTTCACACCCTGGGACCTGTTTTTGTTTGTTTGTTTGTTTGTTTGTTTGCTAAATCATTCTCTAGGTATCTCCATGCTGCCTCCTTGAGGAGGCCTTCCCTAATCACCTGGCCACAGACAGAGACTGACAGAGACTGATGCTCTTCTGGACTAGCTCCCCATCTCTAGCTGTCAGCTGCAAGGTTTCCGCATGCTCTAGAAACACCATGCACAGGCTGGGATAGGAGCCTCCCCTCATCCAGCAGAAAGAAGCTACTGAATAAATGGATTAAAAATAATAATAATCAGATCCCTAAAAAGTAAGAATAGGCATGTTCCACTTGGGGTCCAAATGTCTCCTTCCCTCTAATCTTACCCCACAGTGGGAGACAAAGACAAAGCACGTGTAGAAACTAAAGCTGGGTTAGCTCTAGAACCCAACCCCAACCCCCAACCAGCCTCTTCAGTCAGCCAACACAAAGGTGCTAGGACACACAGAGGCAAGCCAGAGGACAGAAGAGGCTGCTGGACTTTCCTGGGTCTTCAGATCCCAGCATGGCAGTGCATGGCAAAACAATAACAGAAGCACAGGGCCCCTGGATGTTCACCAGCTGGAGCAGGGTGACAGCAAGGCTCCTTGAGGGGGTCTACCGTCAGGTTGCAAAATTCAGACACTCTAACACACACACACAGACAAACATATACACACATGCACACAATCATATATACATACACACTCGTATACATATTCACACACACACACACACTCACACACACACACACATACATATACACATACACACCTAGTCTAAGATCCTATTTCCGCCTGCCACTTGCCTTTGGGCTAAGATCTGACCTTGCTCAGTGGGACCTCCTGCCCTGAGCCAGGGCTCACTTAGTCCCTGGGAATATCCGTTCATAATGTATCCGGATATGACTACCACTCGCCTCCAAGTCCCTTCTCCTTGTTCATTCCAAAGCCATAGGCACCTCCCATTCCGGCTCCAGCAAAAAGATAGCCAGCAGCTCCCATCCCAGGCAAAGACAAGCTCCCCAACAGACATCTGTCTGTTCATACTGATTTGGGAGGCATAGTAAAATAGCATGCTTGTGGCCCAAACCCCACCTCTGTCTGCTTTTCTTCTGAGAAACACCTGTGGGAATGTCATACCTCTACTTGACTTCGCCCAGGTAAAATGACTCGTCAGAGCCCCTCCTGAGGACTGTGTGAGAGCAGAAGCTTCCTGGGGCCTGAGGGTCCCTTCGTGGTGCCTTGCCCTACCTCAGTGCACTGTCAGATCAGCCTGGCTCCTGGCTTACCTTCCCTCAGACTGAGCCACATTCAAAGACTGTAGCAAACCAGAACCGGGACCAGCCACTGAAAGGTGGCACCAGTCCTCTGCCACTTGTCCCCTCCTTGATAAGATGTGGAAATAAAAATAAGACTCTGAGGAATTACTTGAGGACCCTCACCTTCCCTACCACAGGGGAAAGAGGTCGGCTTGTCCCACTGCCCTTCCAGGTTCACCTGAAGTCACTCATCCCAAAGGACAGGTGTTAGAATGCCTTCTCCTCCTCATCTTCCTTCAACTTGTGGGATGCTGAAAATCAGGGTCCTGGGCAGGGGGGGCAAACTTACCTCGCAGCCCAGGGGCCGCCATGGTGCTGGTCCCTCGATGCCAAGCCCCAACTAGTGGCCCTTGGCCCCGCTGGCCTCTGGACAGGCTTATGCGGCTGCTGCCGCGGAGTTAATTCCATCTCGGCTCAACTCTGGCTCAGCTCCGCCCGCCCCTCGCCTGCAGCTGCCACTTCCTCCAATCCATCCCTCTCCCCCACTTCCGCCCCTCCCGTTCTCCTCCTGCTCAGGGATGCTAGCCCAACTTCCAGGAAGGATCCCACGCTCAGGTGCAGCCGGTGGGATCATGGGCTGCTGCTGCCGGCGGCCGAGGAATACATGCTGGCAGTCCTCCACCCCAAGCCTGAGCGAGCGCCACACAACCGGGCTCGCCTGTGATAATTCAACCGGATTATCTCATGAAGCGCCTGGCTGATTAGTTGCCAGTCCTGCCAGGGAAGCCTCCTTTCTGCGGCCCCAGGGGTTACCACTCTCCAGGCTACAGCCCTTAGTAGCAGTGGGGACTTAAACAGCAGCAATGAGACCCTTTCACACCCTCTCCTCCTTTACCAGCTGTGGTCTGGAGTAAAACAAAAGGAAAAAACGCAGCTGCGTGAATAGAGGACAAGTGTGCACAGGTTCAAAGGGCAGAGGGGAGAGGTTTATTCCAGTTTCCCCGGGAGACTCTAGAACAGTTAAGGGGGTACTTAGAAGTTAAGCTGTGGGACAAGACTGGTGTGCTTTGCCTACGGTGGCTTAGGGACCTGACCATGGACAGAGGATGAAGAGAAGACTGTTCTCGGAAGATGTTATATTCCAAGATTCCATAAGCAAATGGTGCCCCTCGATATTACGCCTCCTCCGTGGAAAAGCACCATCTCACCATCAAGTGTGCTGTCTGTGATGACTGAGCCGGAGAGATGTCTGTTCCCTGTTCTACAGAAGACAGTGGCCGGAACACAACAGAATGAAAACAGTCGTGGTCCAACCTTGAGGCTTTACGATGCACACTCCCAGTTTCGTTTGGGTTTGGGTTTTTTTGTTGTTGCTGTTGTTTGTTTGTTTGTTTGTTTGTTTGTTTGTTTGTTTGTTTTTGGCAGTGGTGGTGGTTTTTCAAGACAGGATTTCTCTGTGTAGCATTGGCTTGTCCTGGACTCACTTTGTAGACTAGCCTGGCCTTGAACTCAGAGAGACCCACCTGCCTCTGCCTTCTCCCAGGGCGCTGGGATCACAGGTGTGTGCCATCCACCCACGCCTGGTTCACTCCCAGTATTAACAGCTGATATTTATCTTAAACTCTGCCTTCAGTCAGGAGTCTCTCGAGTGCTTTGCCTTCCCCAGTGTTCATGCTTTGGTTCATCTTTGGTCTCATGCGGTGATGGCTTCCATTTATCCATTTTACCCAGGAAGAGACTACGGCCTGCTTGACCCAGGTTCCAAAGCAGGCAGCCTGCTCCGGCGTCCCAGCTCAGAACACCTTGCAGTTCAGCCTCTGTCTCCCTCTTTTCTCCCTTCATTCTCCTTTCTTCACAGTACCCTCTCCCTGCTTCCAGGGACCCTTCTCCATGTCATTTCTGTTCCTACATGAATAAAAATGCGCCCACCCACCATTGCTCTTTATCCAGCCCTCTTCTATCATCCTCCAAGGCGCTCTTCCACGGCATGCCCCTGAAACACTTGTAGGGACTGCCCTGGTTGGGTTTGATTAAACACCCAAAAGCAGGTAGGGGAAGAAAGGATTTATTGGGCATACATAAGCTTTTGGGTCACAGTCCATCACTGAGGGAAGTCAGGGCAGAAACTGAAGGGAGAAACATGGACACAGGAGTCACGGCTAACACTGCTTCCTGGTGTTCTTTCGTTCACTCCAGCTCTTCGAAGGCCCACCTGCTAGGGATGGTGTAATTCCACAGCGGCTGGGCCTTCTGACATCAGTCACCAGTCCAGAAAGCCCTAGCACACAGAACCACAAGCCAGTCTAACCTGGACCATCCATCAATTGAGAGTCCCTGTAGGCTATGAGAAGTTGACAGGTGAAGCTAACTAAGACAGGATTCTGTCTCTTTTGGTCTAAGGGTGACTATTAAAAACAAAAACAAAAACAAAAAAACAAAGTCCCTAGTATCAAAAGCAGACTCTGTTCTTAGAAAAGCTCTAGGTAAAGGAACACAAACATGTACATAGACACACATGCATGTTACACCCACGCACGGGCTAGGTTTGGCAATTTGACACAAGCTATAGAGTCATCTGGAAAGAGAGAACCTTAATTGAAAGGACGCCTGCATAGGATTGCCTTTAAGAAAGCCTGTGGGGCATTTTCTTGATAGATGATTGATGTGAGAGGGCTCAGCCCACCAGTCCTGGGCAGGTGCTGCTGGTTCTGTGAGAAAGCAGGCTGAGCAAGCCCTGAGAAGCAAGCCAGTGAGCAGCACCCCTCCATGTGCTCTGCCTCAGCTCCTGCCTCTACGTTCCCAACTTGAGTTCTTACCCTGACTTCCTTTCATGATGGACTGTGAGCTGAAAACAGAACTAAAAACTCTTCCCCATCCAAGTTGCTTGGGGAAGTGTTTAATCACAGCAATAGAAAGCAAAGCAGGACACCCCACCTGTTCACAAGGGAGACTGGTCTAAAATTCTCTTTCTTTGTTGGATGTTTGTGTGGTTTAGGTATCAGGGTGACTGTGGCCTCATAGAATGACTTTGGCAATGTTCCTTCCGTTTCTATTTTGTGGAATAGTTACCTATCTCTCTTCCTGTGTTTTCAACTAAAAATGTGGCTTTCTTGACTTGGCTTTTTGTGTGTGTGAATAAACTAGCATGAGGGAATAATTGTTCAACCACCAAAGGGCGGGTCACAAGAAAACTGACCAGCTGTCCTTGTCCACAGGTAGTGTTAAGTGATCAGTCAGAAGAGTGACAGCCAATTCCTTGTCCCCGGATATGGTTTCCTCCAGAGACTGACCTTAGGGATGACTCAAAGTTGGAGAGCAGGGGGGATGTGAGAAATGACAACCTTTAAATTATTAAGCAGTTGTATAAAACATTCATTTATTCTTTCCTCTGTCTACCCCACTCAGCTCTCCACCAAACCTACTCATCATCATCACTGTCATGCCCTGTGACAGAGCAGCCTAGGCAGTGGCAGGTGATAGGAACCTAGGAATGTAGCAATCACTGGTTCCCACAGGAGTGATGAAAGACGATAAGCAACAGGGACGGTGGCACTCTGGCTGAGCGGCCTGGGAGTTCGTGTCTAGCTGTAAAGGCACTTGGGTTTTGAACCTGGAACTGCCATCTCCGCTATGTGGAGAGACTTGAAAGGAGCATCAGTACCCATCAGAATCTACGCCTGAGGGTAACCATACAGGGAGTTGGCAACTAGATGCTGTTTTGTATTGACCGTTGCCTTCCACTAAGGATGTCTGGAGCAGGAAGGGCCTTGGCAACTGGCAGAGAGCATTTCAGCCACAGAGATGCAGGGAATCCCCAACGCTCTGCCACTGGTGTTGTTAGAGTCACTTGTCCCCACCTGTGGGAGTGGGTGTCTCATTTTCATGCTCAGCTCTCATACTAGAGCATTTTGCAGTCATGTAGGACACTCAAGCTTTATCTTAATCCTGAATATCTCTACCATCCTACAAATGAGATGACCATGCTGGTTTTACAGATAAGGAAACTGAATCTGAAAGCCACGGAGGGGTTATTGAAGACTGTATATTTGGGTGAGGGTCATAGGTAGAACCTGTGACCCTGAGCTGGTGGTGGGTCCTGGCTTCTGCCCCTGCTGGCATCCCATCTTCAGGTACCTCCCTTCCACAGGGACTGCTAAGTATACAGGAGATTTGTCATGCCTCTTCACAATGTCATCGTGAAATCAGAAGCCCAGTTCCAGGGCCCACCTCTCTGCCATGCACAGAAGCGGCCTGACTGAGAGATCTGAGAACTGGCTGTTCTTAAGTATAAGTTTATAGGTCCAGGTCACCAGGCTAAGCCTCTGGAGAGGCATCTTCACCCTGTTCCTTCCCTGAGGATGCTGTAATGCCACTGCTTCCTGGAGCCTAGATGGACTCAGCCCCCAGACACTGGTCTATGAGTATTTGTAGGCCATGTGCTTTGTCACTCAAAGCCAGACCCACACCTCAGGTTTAGGCCACAGCTGTCATCCCAAACTTCAGACACAGTCTGCCACCAGCCTTGGTTAAGATAAGAGCTTGGCCTTTATTGTGGAGCCAGGCGGGCACAGAGGGCAGGATGCACAGGGGATGGAGTGATTGATTCTCCGGCTGGTCAGGCCACAGCACGGGCAGCGGCGGGAGCCCACTCACTTGCCGCACTTCCGGGGAGCACACCGGCACTGCATGGCGTTGATGACCTCGTGGTACACGACAGAGCCATTGGTGCAGTGCAAGGGCACACGCATGGGCTCCGTCCTGGAGGGCCAGCAGCAGGAGCAGTGTTCCTGCACGTCCTCTATGTCAATGGAGTACACGGCTTTGCTGGCACACTTGCCCTGTAATACAGCAGGCACGTGGGGCATCGCAGTGGTGAATGGGGCGGAGGGACTCTGGGACAACCCACACTCATCCTCCTTCTCCCTTTTTAAGCAAGACAAGCCCTGCCTCCGCCAGAGACACCTAGGAGAGCTAGGTGATCTTTTATAATAACTGTTTTTACTTTGTTTATTCCATTTACATCCTTGTTGTAGCCCCATCCCTCCTCCCCTCCTAGTCTGACCCTCCCTCCCCAAGGGGGAGCACCCTTTCCCATCTAGCCCAACTTATCAAGTTGCATCAAGACCGAACGTGTCCTCTTCCCCTGTGGCCTGGCAAGGCAATCCCACCAGGGGGAAGTGATCAAAAAGCTGGCGAGTGCCTGTCCGATGTAGTCTCCATTTCCCTTTCTAGAGGACCCACATGAAGCCTGAGCTGCCCATCTGCTCTGTCTTTGTAGGGGGCCTAGGTCCATTTCTTGCATGGTCCTTGGTTGATGCTTCAGTCTCTGCAAGCCCCTCTGGACCCAGGGTTAGTTGGCTCTGTTGGTCTTCTTGTGGGACTCCTGTCGCCTC